CTAATCCCCGGCAACAGCATTCAGATCTTCCTACGACGCTCCAGGCAACGCTATGTACACACGCAATTCCGCTTGTAAGCCGTTGTCTTGCAGAGTGAAAGTAATCGTGGTTGCAATGGTTGCAATAATCACGCGTCTCTAGCTTCTTTATCTCGCCGTTTCGAGTGACGAAAGTGGTATATTCTCTGCGAATGCGGACAACGATGCCAAATGCACGGAGGCATTTCGCAAATCACTTGATCGGGGAACTGTCTTTAACGCCTCTACCTTTCTGACGCGAAACAGTTGTAATGTTGTGGTCCACACTACCCTTACCGATTTAGACCTTCGATTTTTATAAGTGATCGCGGAATGAGCCCTTGAATAGTTTACTCTTTTCAGCGTATGACCCAGAACCAAGCGGAAGACACGGCTTTCCAGCAGCAGATGGCATCGATCTTGAACCGTGTAGATTCGGTTCGCAATCGACAATCGATTTTCGATATAGTGAACAATATGGACATCCCCAAGGTGAATAATGTATAAATAATACATCATGTCATTTCATACGATGAATTCGTGATTTCTGTTGAAATTCGTCTCCAGTGTGTATGTGTGTCAGTATGTGTTTTCTTTATTTTTATATGATTTAATTCGAATTTAAAAAAAATTAAAATGTTCACTTGACGTCTATTAGCCTTTATTATGTTGTGCAGTATGAGCGATGGTTCACTTCTTTTCGTTGATATGTGTGTGTGTCAGAAAAGTCGATTTTTACATTGTAAGTAAAAATCATCGTTGAAAGAGTTAAGTTATTCTACGGTGATCACCGTTGTGATTCCTCATCACTCCTAGCCAATTCCTCCTCCTCCTCCTCCACATACATCGTGTCAAGTTTAGCTTTCCGAACTCGGTTGTTTTCGAATGTACATTCAAAATATTTGTGATACCTTATTATTTTTTTACTAGTAAATATGCAGATTCCTTTGTTTGTGAATGTTTTATGGAGCAATAGAGCGGCGAACTGTCGTTTATTGAGTCTACCAGTAGGAAAATCAAGTGAAAATCCTTCATAATAGACCGCTCTGCGTAATGACTGCAGCGGCGATAAGAGCTATTGTCAACCTCATAGAACGAGCTCGAATCGATGGCGATTGCACAAAAAAACTGGCTGGTTCTTCAAAAATTCGAGCAAGTTACACAAACAGTACAGGCAGTGGCACTACAACAGCGCCACAGTTATGGCAGTTTGGGGTAGTGGTAAGTGGCGCCGGTAGCAGTCACATTTTCGAAGATGGAATCCAGATCTGCACATTTATGATCAGCTCGGTTAAAGGGAAAATATGCAATCAAATTCGTGGGTCCCAATCCTTGCCATAAACGACGCGAATGGATCCGCAGTTGAAATAGCTTGCCATTTTCTCTACTCAATTGTGCACGGAAACGAGGTTGGAGGGCAACGAACGTTACCCGGATGCCGTTCGGGACACCACCAGCAGGGTACAGCATCGTTGTGTGAAACACATAGGGGGTCGTATTTGGTCGTTGGGAAGAGGGGGGTCGTATGTGCCTTTGAGAGAAATTTGCGCGTTGGGAAAAAGTTTTTCCCGGTTTGACTTTTCGCGTGATTTTTCCTGTTTCATGTGTACTATTAGGGTACAGCATGGGGATGTGCGAAATGGCGGTGTGAGTACGACCCCTCTCCCCGAAGAGGGTCTAGATACGACCCCCCCCCCCTCCTGCTCTAAGTGAACCAACCAGAT